ATTGTATTATCAGATTTCTTGGTTCCAGAACTTCCCCCTCTATGAGTAACAACGCTTTTGGTTTTTTGGTTTTGTTTTTTTTACTGCAAAAGCATGAATATAATAAGCTTTCCGCAGTGGCAGTATTGTAGCCTATGAGGTGAAGTCAATGGATGTCCCACTGAATTTAGTACTAGCAGCTGCCTAGATCCTGCTAATAACCACAGTACATGTTGTTTGGCAACTGGATTGCTGGATCTGAATATTTGTTTTTGTCTTTCTGCTAAAGCAAAGGTAGAATATTTTTCTTAGATGTAAAATTACCATTGCCATTGTGACCAGTGACCACTTTTCTAATTGGGTTGCTCATCATTCTGGGGGCAACAGAAAAGGCTGTTTAACTGTTTTCACCACTGACATGCACATAAGGAGGAAGGAGAAGATATCAAAGTACTTCAGGCACAAGCACACTCAAGGTAAGAACCCTTCCAAGCATGCACGTACACATGGACAAATTAGTGTTGGTACAAATCAGTGCCCTTATTAATTAAACAAAGATATGTCTTGGCAGCTGTTATATAACACCACAGAGGCAGTTGGCAGGAACAAGCCAAATGAAAGGCACATCAGGGGGCTAAGTATTAGCAGCAGAAGAACACAGTTACGTCCTTAAGAAGCAAAGATGCCCTTATTGAGCAAATACGTAACTGGCTACAGCACAGCATGGCAACAACTGGCAGAAAAGAAGTGACATGATGTTGCGGATGGAGCACTTCCCCCAAAATCACAGATGGCAGAATTGTGAGCACTTGTTATTGAAGCAACCATTTAACTTGGCAGAGCTGAAGACCACTTGGACAGCAAGAGTTGGCAGGCAAGGACAGAAAGCAGCATGGAATGGGAACATTCGATTGCTCACTCCCCAACAGTTGCATTAGCAAAAGAGGTTGCCCCCCTCCTGTGCATCATATTAGAGAGTTCTTTCAAAAGGATTTTATCTGTCTGCTCCTTTTTTCAGAACCTGAGATTTAATGTGAGTTGTTGTTTTTTTTTGTTTCTGTATCTCCTTATTGAAAAAGTGAGCTTCTCAGAGCTGCTTTAAGTGTATGGGAAGAACATTTCTCTTCCCTGTCTCTTTAAGCTCCATTTTTAATATAAGTCTTTTGTTTGTTCTTCAAAAGTTGCCATTGTTCTGTCTAGCAGATCACTTATTAGATGAATCAGGAAGTTACTCTTGTTTTGTTATAGATAGGCAGAACATGGTCCTGAAAATATTACCGCTCAGGGCATCTACTAAACCAACACTGTGCAAGTGGACCCATACGTGATAGTGTTCATCACTTATCTACAATGTTCACAGGGTTCAAAGTTAAGCATAATATGTTTGCACATTCTTAACTTGATTTAGTAATTTTTATGAATGTATTTAATATATGTCATCTTTTTTCTGTAATCCACATTGTTAAATCCATATTTATATCACATTGTTAATGTAGATAATTATAGTTTCAACAGTTCAGAAAATGTATCTCTGTATGGCTATCTATATCCCTTTAAAAATAGTTTTAAAAATATAAAGCTAAACTATAACATCTTTACCCTTTAGATGTGTGATATAGTGATATGGATAATTTATCTATGTGTGGCATTTGTAGCATACCCATAACTGTAATATCTAGATGATTATGTATCAAAATATATCTGCCAACAACAGATATATGTTCTGGGTTATTTCTCATTTTCTTTACCACACCATATAGTCCTATCAATATGTCTGTTTCTGAAGACTGAACAAGCTAATTGAAAAGCTCAACAAGGTTCATTTACATAGATAACTTGATAACTAGATAACTCTAGTGTCCTGGACCTATCCAAAATAGGTATCATGCCAGGATATGAAACAGACCACACTGTCAACACTAATGGATGATCATTTCCTGCCCATAGACAAGGGCTATATATCCAAATTCATATTGCTGGACTCCTATGCAACACCTCTATGCTTAAACATGGAATGGTGCTGAATCCCATCGGAGCTGTGGCAGAAGTAAGTGACACTGTGCTTAGATGACTTCATTCCTTTCAATCTGCACACACAGAATCAACGTGGGCACTGATTTACAGCCCTCAGGCCCCTCACCTGTGGAGTTTTACAAGGAGCTGTCATCAGTACACAGTTGATGCTCGTCATCTTCTCATTAGATGCAAACACCACCAAACTGTCCAAGAGCCTGGTTCAAGATTACCAGCTGTATGAAGACCATATGGCTGAAACTGAATCCAGGAAAGACTGAGGAGGTGCTGTAAGATAGAAGTGCTTTGAAGAACTCATTATCTCCATAATACTGTCTTTGATTATCCATTTTTTGAAAAGGTCTAATTTTTAGTAATCTGTTCCGGTGGAAGTGAAACAAAATGTTAAATACAAGAAGAAAAACATTCCTGTCTGGTAATAGATAGATTGGTTGGGTGACCTTAATCTAGTTGAAAAGAGAATGGCAAAACCTAAGGTTTGGGAAACCTGTTACTGTGGCCAAAGAGATACCGTAGCCCATGTGAGAAAGAGACACTGTGTATCTGTTAAACAGATTTGGTGAGGTACTGGCCAGCAAAATAAAGTAGAACATTTTATTTTCCTTTTGGAGGTTCAACATGAGTCTTTCATTAACTTCACTGAGCTTTGGATCAGGCCCTGGGAGAAGTGAAATTAGTTTTCAGGAGCTCCTGACTATGCCTCTGTCTCATCACTTGCACCTATCAGGGGACAGAGATGCCCGGGCATGTTGAAGTATATCACAGAAATATTGGTCCTATGCATCCTTTATACATCCTACATGAGTACAACCAGATGGTAGTGTTTTCCATTGGCTTCTAGAAAGCCCCTGAGAGATGCATAAGCAGCATGGAGAGCTTTGCCTGATTCCCTGCATCTTTCAGAATGTGGTGGCCTTGCTGTGGATGCTGTATATAGTTACCTATCTGGGTATGATGTGATAGAAGGTATCGCATTCAGTACTATGCAGTGTTACTTTTTGTTTGTGATGGAACTATCCAGGCACTTCTGGTAGCAAGTTGTAAGGATGGGCTTCTATCCACCGCAGGCTGCCTTTGGGAGATCATCGTGACTGTCAGCAGCGTGACTTTTAAAAATGCAAGTGAGAAAATTAGAATCGCCTAAGGACTCGTGTGAATTGCATCTCGCCCTTTCACCTCTGAGTTTAACTCACAGCACTCCGGAAACATGAATGTTTAATATGTCATTTACTGGCTCCCATGAAAGAAATGACAGCTGTGGAGTTTCAAAGCATAATCTGGAAGCAATGCACATGCCTCTATATTAAAAAAAAAATAAAATGACACCCAGAGCAAATCCTTTTTCATAAGCCCAGTTATTAGAAAAAAGTAATGTGATATCATGAGCTTTCATTAATACTAGTCTTCAATAAGCCTAGAGCAAATTCTTGCTTGCTGTGCACTTGCTATGAAACAGAATGGCTTGAAAGCAGAACATAGTCAGTGTAGGGGCAATCGGGCGTGTGCAGCGGAACTAGAGAGTATTTCTACTGGCATAGCGGTTCTCAGCCAGAGCATTTTGTTTTTTGTTTTTTTTTGTTATGTGAATTTGGTAAAAGAGGATTACTGGTATTTCAGCAAATCATAATACAGAGATCATATTTAGCACTTGTAGCATTCTTTACACCTACAAAGTGCTAAACACGCTTGGGTTAATCTTTGCAGGTGAGTAAGTATTATTATACTTGTTTTACAAATGCAGAGACTGAGCTGCAGAGCAGTTAGTACACTTGCCCAGGGCCACAGAGCATATCAGTGCCGGACCGAGGATTACAATTGAGGATTTCCAGGTTCTTGGGTCTATGTGTGGACCAATCATCATGCTGCCTCATAACAAGGTGTAGTTCAAATTTGCCAATTTGTGCTCTCAAAAAAAGACAGTTTCTCTCTTTGTCAAAGCAAACTCCCATGCTGCTGAACTAACTCCTGACTTTGCATGCATCATTAAATACTTTGCAGTTGCTATCCAGAAAGCTCTGCAGAAAACCTGTGGCCAACCCAAGTAACTCACTTTTCTTTTAAATAATTGATGACATCAAATAGCAGCAGTGTTGTGGCAACAAAGAGATCGCTCTCTCAAAATGTTTTATTTATTGAGAATTTACAAAATTGACTTCATGTTAATCTAAAACATCTGCTTATTCTAATTCAGGATGCCACAGCTCCGGTGCTATGAAATCCAACAACATTTCAGATTTAAACAATATGCATGTAATATCTGGCAAAGAGATATGGGGAGGGGTGTATGAAAGCCAAATATGCATTTCATATGAATTTATTTAAGGGGATTATAAATATGTATTTAATAATAAGTGTGTTTAAAATAATTTACTAAACCACCTAAATACCAGCTAGAGAATAAAAATTGATTCTCAGCTTTAAACAAGACCTTATTAGGTAAAGTAACAACTTTAGTTTCCAAGAAAAAACACTTGGAATTTTTGTCAGGCCAGACTTATATAAAACACACTTAGAAGTGGAGCTTTTTCCATGGTGTTCATAAATCAAGGTCACTTATGCAAGAAGACTAAGTTTTGTTAAAACTGACAATTGGATATAGAGGGCATATCAGTGTTAAATGATATTCTTCCCACATTCTAGGTCAGAAGGCAGTGTAAGCAACACAGTGGCATTATAAAACAGAAAATTGCATTCCAGATAATAACAGAGCTTCACGGTGCATGGTTTTACTCTTTAATGTGCTGTGTTGCACTCCGTCATATTAAGATTTTAAATTATATCACATTTCCTCCTTCATGCATTGTTTTAATTTGTTTCCAGTGGGATGGCTGGCTGAAATGCAGCTTTTTTTTTTTTTTTTCTTTTTCCTTTTTTAATCCAATGATACCTAGAAAAAAAGCCTAGAGCAAAACTGTCTGTGCAGGAAAATGGAAACAAGAAGTAGTTTCAAGATTTATAAGCCAAGGGTTTATGTGATGTATTTACAGATTCAATCTGTGTACCAGGCTTTGATCCAAGCCTCAGCATGATGACTGGAATAACTCCAATTAACCCGATGATACCAGGCATGGGGTTAGTACCGCCGCCACCACCAACAGATGTGCCTGTAGTCAAAGAAATAATTCACTGCAAAAGCTGTACACTCTTCCCTCCAAACCCAAGTAAGTGGATCTGAAGAAAGAATGCTTGGCAATCTTGTTTTCTTAATATTTTGCATAAAATGTTTCTAGGTGCCAAACAATATTTGAGCACATTTTCTTTATAAATACAAAAGGAACCACAGTGGCATGTATGCAAGAAATAGAACTGATTTAATAAAGTGAATAATTTTGGATATGCGATGGTAACTAAAATGTTTGCAACCAAATTGTATGGATGTGTTGCAGTGTGGTAGAATATTAGAATATGTTCATTCATCTTGACAAATACAAGGGCAAACATAGAAAGACGTTTTGTAAGAAAAAAAAGTGGATTAATTTAACAAAGCTGAAGGAGACTGGACGTCTCACTTAGTTTTAATAAGCCATTCCCCTCTGTATTACTTTTTCATTTCTATGTCACTCATTCAAATCCAGCCCAAGTCAGTAGCGATGGAAAATTGTAACTGTTCGATGGTTATTCACTGGCCCTTATGAACTGAATGTGGTGCTCTTAGTCTAGTTCCCATGATCAGGTGTCCACATCACAAAAACAGCATACAGATGGGGCACCGTTGTTGATAGTCTCAGAAGAAAGACTTCAATGGAAATGAGCATGAAGATTCACCTATTGCCTCACCCCCTAGAGGGGCTCCCTCTGCATTGTGGGGAAGGTGAGTCGGTAAGGAAATATGGGGAAGCTTGCACAACAGTCACCCACTGTGTACCTCTTCTGGGGTAGACTGCCCACCGGCTGTAGTAAGTGATGTAAGTGGTGATGAGCTGAGCTGCCTGCAGAGAGCACTTGGGAACTCCCCAGGATACAGGAGAAATGTCACGGCACACAGCATAGTTGTCCCAAGCTGACAGCCAGTTCTGGGGCTTGACATGTAGAGAGGGCAAATCTATAGTTCCATCTCCCTGCCCTTTTAGAGCACCATGTTTGCCCCGGGAAGCAGTCCCTGTGCTCCCTTCTTCCTGGCCCTTGCATGGGCTGTGCAAATGAAAGACAAACTCGTCCCACTGAGCATCTGCATAAGGGCAAGGCAGAATCTTGTGACTAAATCGGAGGACTTCAGTTCCTAGGGTCATCAGCTGGTGCCTTTCACCAGCACCATGGGGAAAAAGGAAAGCGAAGCAAACAGAATTTTGCTCTGTGTTTGTACTGTGCCTAGCCCATTGTTTAAGCAAATAGACTGGGTTTCAAAAACAATTAAAAGACTAACCTCACTCAGCGTATTTAATTGCCAAATAACTAATTCATATTAATCAGTGTTGGCTTGTAACTGTTTTTTTTCCAGAAAAGTGCTCTAGTAATCTACACATAAACAAGGTGAAACATTGTGACAATGTACACTCTTTTATACAGCCTCCAAAAATTTAAGTTTGCTCATTTACATGTAAATGATGATAATTTTTTTTAAAAAAGTCACTTCATCCAGCGGTGTTTCAATGCCAAATGAGTATTCTGTGTGCTGTTAGGTTATCCTTCCCTTGTTCTAACCTCTGTTCTATTATCTGGCAACAGGACAAAGTAGATAACTGGCAGAGGGTTTTCATCATGTTGTCATTTCATCGTGTTTCCCACTCTGTTTTGCTGTTTGCTATGCTTCTGTATTACAAAAGAGAAATGAAATTATGCTAAGACTGGGTAACATCTTCAAACCTGAGTGCCTGAAGTTAGGTTCCCATGTCCATATGCAGGCACCTAAACAAATGTGGCCTGATTTTCATCACCCATCGATTTGAGTCGGTGTTGTGTAAAAAATTAGAGATGAGCCAAAGTGGCTGAGTTCAGACTCAGCTCAGATTTACACTAGAGTTTAGGGTTTGTGTCTGAGGTCATGTCAGCACTAAGGTTCCTCTCATCCAAAATTTCACAGACTTTTCTTGTGGGATTTCAATTGAATCCAAGTAGGAAAATAGACCCCTTTGGGTTTTGGATCTGACCTGGACAGCAAATCATAATGGCAGGGATTTGACTGTGAAACCATCAATCAAAATTGGAAATGAGGAGATTCAATTCAGGGATACAGTTTTGGCCAATCCCTAAAATATTTAATTGTCCCTAACCCCAACCCCCTCCCAAATAAATTGCTATTCAAAATAATTTTTAGTGCATAAAATTGATTATGGGGATGATTGGGATGAATGAATACAAAGACAAAGCCTTGTGTTCCAGTGTGATTTTTGTTTTTACTTAGATCTTCCACCACCTTCCACAAGAGAGAGACCTCCTGGGTGTAAGACTGTGTTTGTTGGAGGTTTACCAGAAAATGCTACTGAGGAAATTATTCAGGAAGTCTTTGAGCAGTGTGGAGATATTACAGCTATTCGGAAAAGCAAGAAGAATTTTTGTCACATTCGTTTTGCAGAGGAGTTCATGGTTGATAAAGCCATTTACCTTTCTGGTACTTTACATTCTTTAATGGATTTTCTGTGCTTCTCATTTGTATTTTATGATGCTAATGTGTGCTTATTTTCCTAGCCTTTATCTCAGCGAGTGTTGCTTGAGCTCAGCAGCTTTGGCTAGGAGTGGGAATGGTGCAATTTCACATTTTCTTGTGCTCACCAAGCCTAGTGTGTGATTCTGTTAATTTTACCTACCCCAGATAATTTCCCACCATCCCTGACAATTATTTTCGGTTTTATGCAGGTTTATATGGTTTTTATTCATACATTGGGGTGGGAAGGGGGGGAGTGGAGGGCCCTGGGCCAGGATTGCTGCAGTACTTCAGTGCCAGTTTCCGTGACAGGTGCTGGCAGTTTCACTGGCATATTTTTATACATTCTGCAGTGTGGCCTGAAAGTATTCTGCCTTCATAAGCACATTATAGGTGTGATTCTGATACCCATACTCATACAGAGTAACACCTTTCTCCACAAAAAGTCCAATTGACTTTGATGGGGATATCTGTTCAAAACTACTCCTCATGAGTAAAGGTGTCAAAATCTGACCTAATATAGTGTTCGGGATGTTCCTCAAGATCTCCACCAACTACCATTTTTTAAAACAAAAGTCAAGTTTCATGCCTTTAAACTTGGGTGAATGTTAAATTGTGACTTGGAAAAACCCCACTCTTTTATTTTACAAAGGGGCAGCCACTCTTTCTTTTTAAAAAAAAAATTCCAATTCCCTGTCTTTGGAGCTCGGGGAGGTGAAATCATTTTTTTAAGGAAATTTTAAAAGACTTTTTTAAGTTTCTCCAAATCTTTATCTTTTCCTTTCCTCCTTCCTTTTTTTACCCCATTTCTTCACTCCCATCCCTGTCTCCTTTTCCGATCCCACTCCGGTTTCAACTTTCCTCCTTCCCATCTCTCATTATTACTTTTGTGTTCATTTATTATTTCTACATCACTATAGTTTGTGTGGCACTTTACAGACAAATGAAACAAAGCCCAGGTCCCAGCTCAGCACAGCTGATCTACAGAGGTGTTGAACACCTACTATTCATAGTACAAGTCGTGGTTGCTTTGTGTTTTTTAGGATGAGGGCCTAAATTGGACATAACCCCCCAAAAATGAAGGGCATAGTGCAAAGAGTGAGGGGAGTGGAAGAGAAGATCATAGAAAAACAGAAACTGTCATGCTAGATCAGAATCAAAGTCCAGCTAATCCAGTATCCTGTCTCTGACAGTGACTGACACCAGATCCTTCAGAGGATGGTTATAGGAATCCTGAGGAGGCAGATGTGAGATAACTTGACCCCAAAGAAAGTTTCCTTCTGACCCCTAATAGTCAGAGACTGCCTTAACTGAAATCTGCTGATTATTATGTATGCAATGTATTACTTCCTATTTTGCCAGTTTCTTTTCGATAATGTGCTATAGTTAGGGGACAGTCAGGAAAGAGAGCAGCGGTGGAGGTTAAACTTCCTTTCTGCTCCCCTTCCTCCTCATTCTGTGCAGGTTTATTTCCAAGCTCCCGGGACTTTCTCTTCCTGACTCTCCCCTTCATTCTTCATTCCATCCTTCCCCCTCCCTCTTTCCTCACTCTTCCTTTTCACTGCTGCTTGTACAACTCTCCTCTTTACTCTCCCACTTCTGCTTTCTTCTGTTTTCCCATCCTCCCTATCTCCATATTTTTCTCTCTCCTTATCCTCCTCTTTCTTCGTTCCTTTTGTTCCTCTGGCAGAGACTTTTTACCTAGTGTCTCCAGCCACATTAAAGAAGGGACAGTGGGTTGGGAGTGAGGGATAGAGAAAAAGAAACAGGTGAGCATTGCTGCCATAATCAGCTAACTTGTGCTGTCCGCCTTGATTTCCATGGAATTCTGCAATAAACTCGGAGCCTTGACTGTTTTCCAGCACTGCAGAGAAGATCGTGCACTAGAGGCAGGTTTTAATTGTACTGAATGATTGTGTTTTTCTAACCAATCTTTATAGTGTTTTGAAACATAATGCATTTGGAAACGGTAGAAGAAAAACATACAGTTAAAGCAATTTCTCAAGCCTATAATATACAAAAGAGACCTACAAATAGAAGGTATAATTTATTATAACTTCAGTATACTTGTTATATGAGGGAAAACCATGCCTTTGATAATGATGACTTCGTCTGTCTAATCGGTTTTATCTGTCTATCCAATCTAATCTATCTAGGTATTTATCCCATGCTTAGTTCCATAGTACCTTACGCAATTATAAAATCCATTAAGCAGTCTAATCGCTAGTTCTTTCCATTCTAACTCCAAATGGATGTATGCGGGGTTGGGAAGAGGCATTATGTTGCATTTTGATTGCAGGACGGCTAAGCTGGAGAAGCGTACATTCTGCTCTGAAGGTTGAGCAGTTCGCTGCCATTCTGATCTGTTATGGAAGTGAATTCCAAATAGCCATGACCAGCTGATGAGAAAGTTCTGCTTCCTGCCCTCATATGTTTCACCCTCATGACTGGGATGGTTCCATAGCTTGTGAAACTCTAAGCAGTCACAGACAGAAAGAGCAGGACAATATCTTAGGTTGCCAGGGCCCAGCCCTGTGGAGAACTTTCAAGATTATGGGCAAAACCTTGAATATGATTTATATCTGCTAATGTGTTCCAGTTTCTGCCCAGTGCTGAGTATCCAGGCAATGTATAATGTCATTTTTAAGCTCCCACTGGGTGCTCGTGCCCCTAGGCCCTCTCTTTTGGATGTCCGAGTCCAGGTGTGTCTCTCGCTGTATTCAGGGCATTCACTGGCCAGCTCCCTGCTCAGTAACACCCAATCACAAAAGATAAGTCTTGGAGCATATACTAGATGTGTAACATGGAAAGGCTGGTTTTTATTTTTACAGCATAGTAATTGATTTTTCCTGGTGCTGCTCTTTTAAAGTTAGGCTCCTGGCGAGTGACCAAAACCCCTTCCTCTGTCTGTGTGTGAGAAACAGAGATTTAAAATGACACATCCTGCATGCAGTTAATGCAAGCTGCTGTTCCAAGCACCAAGGTGGGAAGAGGTTGTGTGAATGAAATTCATTACCTTTCCAGGAGGAGGTCTGAAAAGGGTGGTGGGGGGGGTGCTATTATCTGTTCAAATATCTTTGAACACTGTTAAGAGCATAAAATAATGGAAGACAACAGGCGTTCAGACTTCTCTACAACTCACCGCTGGCATGCTGACTGCTTTGCCGGTGGCTCTGTAAACAAAGCAGAATCTGACAGACACACACACATACCACCCAGTGTATGGTCATGCCAGCCACACACCTATCTGAGGTTTTTATGTCAATCCAGGTAGTGCTGAGGTCATTGTACTGTCCCAGTAGTCCATTTAAGGACTGCTGAAGTGCCTAGATTGACTGTGCCTAAGGAGGGCTGCTGTGACATTTTGAAACAGTGGACTAGTTTTGACATTATGACATGGATGCTCACAAAAACCTTTTGGTTGGTTGCCCAGTGGCAGCCAGAGCGGCCGAACAGTCAATCTGATTTTTAGTCATTCATGGATGCACTCAAAACTGGCTGCCCTAAAGAGGTCTTTTGAAAATTCTCTTGTGAAGGACATCAAATCTAGGATCGAAACGCAGATATTCCTGGCTCCCTGTGCTGTGCTCAAACTGCACCTTCTTTTCTGCACCGTTCTCTCTATCTGTTCCCAAAAGATAGGGCTGCTCTGATAAAATTCAGCTTCCCTATTGCACACTCCACATTTTCGTTGGATTAGGGTGCAACCATCTTTATACCCTCTCACTTTGCTCCTTTGTCATTGTGAGTGGGCAGAGTTTGGACATACGTAAGAATCTTACTCTCTGAAAGGCTCCAAGAGCAAGACTCTTACACATTTCAATACCCTATCTGCTCATAACAACAGAGGAGACAAGCAGAGCAGAGGGAGAGCATTCACAAGGTTATATAGAGTGCAAAACACAACACAGCTGGGAGATCTAATTTTAGGCTCATGACCCTGGGCACTTTGGCAGTGTCCCTCAGACACGACTGATAAGGTTCTTTAAGTTTACAAAATTAGTTAGTTGATAAATATATGTTGGGAGTCAATTGATTTGTCTGACATTTGTCACGGTTACAGAGCTAGCTGCACCGCAGACCTCTTCTCTTGCCTTTCTGAGTGCACCCCCTGCTGGTAGGAGGCCTCACACCTTTACCTCCCTGGAGTAAAATCACACCATTCTCCCACTCGCAGACCAGGTCCTTGGTTACAGCACCCTGGGAGTCCTTACTCCCAACAGATCTGAGTGGGTTCCAGTACCTGTGGTTCTTCCTTTCTATATCTTGTGGCCAGTGGAGAATACAGTGACACCAAGTGGCTTTCTTACACTAAAGTATTGTTTAATCTTAACTGTGAGAAAATGGCAAAGTATAAGAGAAGAGTTTAAAACAGTAACAATCTGTACACATGTTTATCTTTCCTAAAGGCTTAGGCAGGCCTATTTTACCACAGCCTCCTAACTTCTGGGCTCTGGGTGTCAGTTTGTTCTCCAACAGTCTCTCTTCCCTGTCCTTGTGGGCTGTTCTTTGTCCCAGTTTTCCTGTGGTTGAAAGCTGGAACCCGTCTCCCCTTTGCCAGGCTAGACTGTTGAGCTCAACAGGGTGTTAGAGGAAAAACTTCAAAGCAAATATCACCTTTGTTGTCTCTTATGTATCTGAAGCCATTGTCCCCTTTTCTGCAAATGTGCAGTCCACCTCTGTTTTAACCAACGCTTTTTATCTATACAATGACCCCCCTAACAACAATCAGATAGGACTATAATATGTTCTAAGTTAGAAGTGCACTCACTGTGTCACAGCATTCACCCCTCTCTGTTCAAAGCCCAAGTTTGCCCTTCCCCTTGCAAAGCCCAAAGGCTGCGTTGGAGCCCTGTGGTATCTAGGAGGGACAGGAACAAACCTGCTCAAGGCACAGGCAGGCAGTGGCTGCTGTTCAAGTTTATGGGAAGAAAAACAGCTTCTGCCTTTTCATGCTCTCTACACAGGAGTCCCCAGTCATTGGGTCTTCATAAATGCATCGGTACAGATGAATAGAGTGACTTACTTTAGGGACAGCCTAACCAGAGCCAGCGTGGAGCTCAGCTACCCAGCATGCAAAGGATCCAGAGGCCCCTATTGGGCTGTTCCCCTCATATCCCCATGAGCAGAGCTATTGGGAGGGTTGGCCTAGTGGGATTTATGCAATCCTTCTGTAAAGTGCAAATTCTACCTATTTTTCAGTGTCTCCTGTGATTGTACACACTGTTTACAGCTTTCTGCACTCTCTAAAATTACCCCTGAAGCACTGGTTAAGAACTAGGAGGATTATTTTAAAATTTTCTTTCAGTCGGTAATGTACAACTTGAGAAAGGATTGTGGTGCTTCTCAGGGTATCCAGGGCTTTGAGCCATCTTGTTACCTCCTGCCTTTAGCCAGAGGGAGTCTTGCCTGTGGTGACTGGGTGTTAGCTCCATAACACCACCTGCTTTTCAGCCTCTCAAGCATTCCCCTCAGGGCTATACCAGACCTGAGAAGAAGTGCAGCCCAGTTCCCGAGTCCCCTCGTGATATCCAGCCCCTCCCACTGGCTGCTCACAGAAATCCCAGATCCTCTGCCACCACAGGAGCAGTGTGGCCCAGTTTACCAGTTTTACCCGAATTCACCACATCTGTAGTATGCACAGCACTTGTGAGCACTTATAATAAAATGAAAGTTTTATTTAAGAAAGAATACAGGTTCCACTAGAAACGAGAGAGGGTGATGGAAACAATACAAAACAAAATCATAAAATGTGAATAGGGCCTACCCTTATTAATACTTACCTTGCTATCTAATACAGTAGATTTTCTCCCCAAAGTTCAGTCTGCTGCAGAGCTGGTTGGCTTCACAGGAACCATGGTCCAATCTTTCCTGAAACAGCCCTGCTCAACAAGATGTCTCTGCACACTCCCCATGTTGGGATGGGATATACCAAAATAGGCTTTTGTCTTTATTCACAGATAGGGTGGATACCCTGTATATTGCAATGTTCCTTTTTACCTTCAAATTGTCTTTGATGGTTTTCCATGGACTTTTGAGATGGGGCGAGGGTAGACACTTGAACAATACATTACATAATTAGCCAGCCAGGGAGAGGTGACAACTCCCCAGCCACCTTGAATGGGCCATTACCAGGACATAAGCTCCCCTGGTGACTCACTTTCACTCCAAGACCATAAGGGCATAATTTTTAGTAAAGTCATATTATTCCATAAATATTACCTGTACACACATCTCTCACAATGATCACAAATATTGATAAGTTACAAACTTTCAGTAGAGACCTCCTATGCAATCCTTCATATATAGATAACATGAAAGTGATGTGTTGGGGTAGTGAGTTTGTCAGGTCTGAGACAGGAGCTGCTTTATAAAGAACAGTGAACCCTTTGCCCATTGTCACCAATAGGCATCTGTACAGTATCCCAAGGATTCTTAGCAAAATAGGACCTATCCTAACAGCTCAGCTTGTGCTGTTGTGCAGAATTGTCCCAGCGGATTAACTTTTCTTCATTTAGCACCCAGAGGTTCCCATGAAAATCAGGGCCCCATTGTGCATGGCCACTATATTAAAGAGCTTACAATCTGTTAGTTTTAGCAGGTGCAGCGTTGACCCATCTATGACTACATAAGACGTTACTGAAGGGACATAAGCACCTTTTATACATTGTCTACAACAAGATTGCTTCTTCTGATAAACCAGTGTACTTTATTACAATCATTTTCAGACAGAATATGGAGTATAAATGCAGTTCTTAGACTGAATTTGATCTATTTATATCTGCTCCCATGCTGTTAGCATATTGTGTTTGTGACTATGAAAGGTCAAACCTGAGGTCCAGCTTCAATGCAAAGTGTGATACATTATCCCTGGGGCTGGCAATTTCTATAACATGATTTGCTCATTTATCTCTGGCAGGGATTTTCAAGGATTTCAATCTTTTGTCCAAATCTTCTGAACCAGAACTAAGCCTGATCCAAACACTCCCAGGGTTAGGTGGGGTTCATAATCCAAACCCAGTCTAGCTGCACAGTTTTGCAAATGACCTCTTTGCTTATAAAGGTTTGGAACCTCAAACTGGAACACTCCAAAGTTTGAGGGGGTTCTAAACCTGGATCCAAATTTTACTGGGTGAGTCTATCCCATCAGCTCAGCTACTGTGGTGATGTATGCTTTAGAAATATAGAAGGCTGGACGTGTAGGTGGATGTATATGTAAATGACAATGAAAAGTTTGATATGAGATGGGAGTTAGGAGATCAAGGTGGCGAGGGAAAAGCAAATAAACTTTTGATTTTTTTTCCTCACTGCCTAAAAAGTATAATTAAATAAAAACTGCAACAGTTCTGCTTGTTGCTTTCAGGTTACCGCATGAGATTAGGATCTAGCACAGACAAAAAGGATTCAGGTCGCCTTCATGTTGATTTTGCTCAGGCAAGAGATGACTTTTATGAATGGGAATGCAAACAAAGAATGCTGGCCAGAGAAGAACGCCATAGGCGCAAAATGGAAGAAGACAGACTACGACCTCCCTCTCCTCCGGCAATAATGCATTATTCTGAACATGAAGCTACTTTGCTGGCTGAAAAATTGAAAGGTAATGGACTTTTTTCCCCACTGTATTATATTCTAAGAGCAGAAGCCACCCAGATGTAAGAACACTGATAAAGCCAATCCCATCATAATAGTGCTGCTGATTTCTCTCTCATATACTCTTTTATTTGCCCTCTTTCTTCATCCCTCTGCTGCTGGTGTTGCCACCATTATAATATGCACATACCTTTCAGTGTGTGTCCCTCTGCCATTTTTATTTTAACAATTTAATTTAAAAATTCAGAAGTCTTTTGAATGTTTTTTCCTGCTTTTTTCATCAAGGTATATAGTACATGAGCAGGGAATCCAACCTAAACATATGAGATCCACCTTGGATAAGGGGAGTCTTTCATGTGATGTAATTATCCATCTTGGAGGAGACACTCAATGTCAAAATCTCTTACGTACATTGTTCACATGTAGGGACCAACTCTACAGCCCTTACTCATGTTGAGTAGTACTGGGCTTACACTGAACTCAACTACCGAACTACTTACCTGAGTATACTGGCCAGTGTAAGTTCTTAGACTGCTCTCATCACTGAGTGCCTGTCAGTAGTTAATTAAGTGCTGTGACTAATATCTGTCACATGTAGTTCATTTACATCTTCTCCCCAGGGGAAGAATAGTGTGTGCTGTGTAGTTGTTGGGTTTTTATTTTTGTAGGGTTTTTTGTTTGTGTGTGTATATATATACACACATACATACACACCTGTGCTGAATAAGTACTAGTCAAGGTCAGACTTGAAGATTTGGACCCATAATAATTAGTTAACATGTGAATCATCGTAAAGATATAAACATTTAAAAGCAAATGGCTCCTCTCGGTTTCTTTTCCATTAGGCTTCTAGCAACTGTGCTTGGCATTCTTTCCCCAGAGCAGAGGCCAAACATGTTACCTCCGCAGTATGCCAGCTCACAAGAAAATATGATTCTTGCCACTGTCTTCTTCCATTGTAACTATTCAGATTAGACTTGGAATATCTTGCTGTCAACACACTGGCATACTGTGCTAACTATGAAACACATTTGGAAAGCAGGATAAGAATAGCACACAGTGTGCTCCTGCATCTTTGGAGAGTGTAGCAAAGATGCACCCTACTGTCTCTGGGAGCATAGTGCTAGTCACAAAGATCTGTATCACAGGTGGAGCATGGATACAAATCTAATTCAAGTCTGGAATTAAGTGCAGATAGCTAGGAAATCAGAATGGTAGGCAGCATGATTAAAAATCACACAAAACAAAGTCAGGCAGTGTAAATGGTAAGATTCCAACAGCATTGTTAAGCATGACAACCTATTGGCGAGATGGTGTGTGGCCTGCACAAGTGTGGGTGGGGGAGGAGGAGAGCTCTCAAGCCTCTCCTCCTTCCGTGTCCCTGCAGGTGCTCTCCTCTGCTGAACAAGTAGTGAACTGCACCACCTGAAGTAAACACACAGAGTTGGGTTTCATCATTATACTGAAGATATTGACGTCCATGCTCACTACTAATCCTTCCCAAGGACTCAGACACAAGAGGGCAGAGGAACAGAATGCTGTGGTACCCCACATGAGAGAGAGCCCCTGGGACAAATACACTGGCTAGTACTACCCTGTGAGGAATGGAGCAACACAAGAGAAACATCTATCCCTGCTAGAGACCATGGAAGCACCACCAGAGCCTCACAATCTATGTATGGTATTGAAGGCAGCTGGCAGAACTAAAATCAGCCTGGATGCTTGATCTTCATCCAGATCCAAAAGCTGAGCTAGACGAACATAACTACTGCAGTTTCCGTATGGTATCCAGGCTGGAATCAAGGTTAACTGGGACCAAAGAAATCGTAGGCTTGGGACGTTACCAAATTTGCTTTGCCACAATGGTCTTAACAATTTTTCCCCTGAAAGGGAAGCTCAGAATGAGTCTGTTGTTAGGGAAGATTGTCCTGCTTGAAAGATGGACTGTTGAGCAGAGATCTCACAATTGCTTTCATAAGGACAGCTGTTACCCTGCCCTCCCAAAGCAAGGCACTGACACCATCAATAATGAACCCAGTGCTTCTACACTAACCTTTATCACACAAGGGTTACAACTGCTGCATCAGCTCCAGAGTCTCACTGACCAATACTGGCTAAAATTCAAGCAAAGAAATGTAACATCTGCTCCCCCCCACCCCTCAGATACTGCTCTGCAACCACAAAGGCAGACAGTTTGGTCTGGATCCAAGCATTTTTCTGTCAAAGTACCCATGGAAATTCCTGACAAGAAAAATCTGACTTGATAACTAAGTGGAGACAACCTGGATTCACCAGGCCTTCCACAGACCAAGCTCGTTTTGCTGCTTAGGTATTTGTAGATTCTATGATGGAGGTAACAAAAATCTTTGCTCGTCTTATGCACAACCACAGCATAAGACATCAACAAATCATTGTACTCTGCCAGACTTGACATAAAAACTCTGCCTCCAGTATTCCAAACATCTTCCCACTTGTTTCATGAGTTGCAGTTTTTCTGGTGTACCAGTGACCACTGAGGAAGAAGTCTGGTAAGAGTTTTATAGAAGTTACTGCGTGATTGGCTGAAGACAAACGTTCATTGTAAAATCTTGTCAGGCAAGGTGATAGAGTAGGCTGTTTGGCTAAATAGTATTCTGTCTCTGTGCCATCTTGAAGTACATTAGTTCCATTAGCCTCTGAACCTGGACTGTTAAACAGATCAGAAGGGGCAATGGTCAGTCTATGACAAGGGTGCCACTTCCACATACACCCCAGTCTCAAAGCCCTGCTTGAACACAAGGTCCAGAAGTTGGCCAGATGCAAGAGTTATCAGAAATTAACTAGGATACTCCCCTGGTAAAGTGGATCTTAGTGGGGTAGACCTTGATCCAGCAGTGGACTGGAAATACATGATTAAAGAAAAACAAAGAGAATTCCCCTATGACATCTTGACCTAACCCAAAAGAATTATCTGCATGGACATCAATCAGCATCAGTGACTCTTTCACTACCAGGAGTCACAGTCAGCTCAATCAGAGACCATCATGGTTGGTGGAGCAATAGGGTTTTTTGTACAAATCCCCTCTTAATCCCAACCTGGAACTCACATGCAAAAGAGAGACAGTCAACTGGAACTAGTTTTGGAATGATAGACCACCTACATTTGAGGCCAGATGCAAATATGATGGCAATGCTACTTCCTGATTCTCCTTTTTTTTATGCTGAACTGAATACCCAGTTGGAGACAACTGTGCCAGCACAGGCTTTGTAGTATCATCCAAACAGGTTTCAGACAGAGGCCTCATCCTTTATTCAGTCATGGTTGTTTGGAACTTTGTTAGCCATATAGACAATGTATATGATCTTGCAGTATGAACTGACAAGCCTGATCCCGATCATCGGATGCCCACATTCCTGAGAGAAAACTGCAGGCAAAACCAATGGAACAAAATTGCACCTTTCAACCTATGCTCATTATGCTAAAACTTGGTAATATCATGCCTTGTCTTCCTCTGCCAACCACAAAAAAAGGCTCAGCGATCTAAAGGACTCAACTCTTTTTAAGCAGCCTCTTCCCCTCGTGAGACCTCTGTACCCGTAGCACATAGTCATTCACCACACTTAGCCATCCTAAGAAATATGAGTAGAATTCTTTTTAATGGATCTAATATTTTAAAAAATGAAAATATACATAAAAATGTTTTTTCTCTTTCTTTCTGTGCTCCCTTTTTCTAGGCCTGAGACTAGAGATTATAATTTTGCAATGGCAAGTATGTTCTCATAAACACACATTACTGCTGCTCATGTTAAGGGTCTAGCTTGCAATGGGAGGAGCAACCTCATCTCCTGCTGTGCAAAACATTTAAAACATCGGAATTGCCATATGGAACAGACCAATGGTCCATCTCATCTACTATCCTGTTTCTGACAGTGGCCAATGCCAGATGCTCTGAGAAAAAGCATAAAACCTCATAATGCACAAAATGGTATATTACTGTACCATGAGGGGATATTTCTTCCTGACCCCAGCTTGTGATCAGTTTATGCTCTGGAACATGAGAATTGATATTCCTTTTACTTCTTAACATAACTAGTGTAACTGAAAAATCCATTTTTCTCCTATAAAACAGCTTTCTGTTGCAATGCTACTTGGCAGGCATGCAGGGTATTCAAAATATTTGTTTGCTACATTTTCAATAGAGGCCAGAATTGCCATTTAAGAGACCAGTATGTGAAAAGGTCTTCCAAGAAATGCTCAAGGTGCCCTTCAGAGTATGACTGAGAAGTTCTCTTTGACTCCCTTGTTTTTGTTTATCAAGAAAAGAGAATTTGAGCTGTTTTCAAATACAACTACTAGTTTCACCAGCACTGTTTCACCACTTTAAGATTTAAACTGCCTTCATTGAAAGATATGGCAATTCCGATGAAAGCTTGCCCTATCTTGCCCTAGTGCTATGATGAGATTTCAAAGACTGCTGCTGTAATCAATTCTTTTTTGCTTGTATGGGTCTTTGTTGAAAATCAGGGCCTCTCTGCCTTGCCATAAGAAGTTCAAAACGGCTGCAAACACTTTGCCATTACCATTATGCACTCTTTCAAAGACAATATCCAGATTTGTAGTCTAGTCCTGTCACTACTAAACTTTTGTCCTCTGGTTTATCTGCTCCTATAGCATCTAAAACAGTAAACTGTTCCATGTTCAAAGATACATGGTCGGATTGTTCTCCGCACTACCCTCCCCTTCACATAACTCTAACGGTGCAAAAAGGCCATAAGATCAGTGTAATTTATTCCCACTTCAAAATCCCTTTACACTGCCACAGCAATGTTAAGAGGCGCTACTGCAAATCAAATTCCAGCTTTTAGACTTCAGGCATGGCTTGAGATAGGGCTGCTGAATCTACACTTTGGTTTTCTGTGCTTGCTCCTTCATGGCATCTACTAATGCCAGAGTGATGGACATATCCCACCTTGTGTCCTATTTTGAGGGGCAAAAGTGGTACTACTCTACTCAAACTGTGTCCACAG